TAGTGCCAGTGGAAAAAAATTGCACAACCACTCCATTTTTAGTGGTAGTGAAAACCCTTATAGATAATTAACTTTTTTCGGTAAAATAGCACTGCTTTTGGCTGTAAAGAAGTTTAATTGTTATGACATAAACCATATTCTTGAGAAGAGACTTCTAACTGTCGCTTCAAAAATATAAAAATATAATTCATTTCTTATTTGCTATTTTTAGTACCACATTTAAAAATTACGGTCAGTAAGATTTTGCCTTATCGATCGATTGACAATCCCAGCCAGTGGTGCTGATGGGATTTCGCCCAAAATTTGGCATTTTCGCACCATAAAAGGGCGCGTGGAATTTTGCGTCTCATTTTGGGATTTCCAGCTAAATGCAATTTTGTGGTTTAATTGTTTATTTTTTATTTGCTGTTCAGTCATTGTTACATCTCTTTATTCAAACATATATGGGGAGTTCCAACGTGGCGGATTGGACATTTAAACTCGTTTTTCCTCAGACTTTTTAGTAATTTTTCTTTAACCTCTAATTTTACTAGTTTCAAACTGTTAACATCTGAATTCAGATATCAGTTTAACACGAAACTTATAAAGTATAAAACTTAACTATATAATTTACACAGAAAATTTTCATTTTCCCCAAGAGTGCCTGGGGAGACAACGACGACACCCACCTCTATGAGTTTCTGGATTCGATTCCCAATTTTAAACAAACTATGTACATATAATTACAAAGGCAACAAAAATTGGAACACATTTGGTTACGCCAAATGTTAAAGCTGTTTTTGATTGACTTTTCTGTGCTGACTACGAATCCGTAAGCATAAAGTTTCCATCAGCTCCAGATTTGTCGAAAAAATCGCGTTTTTTGCAATATTTTAGAAGCTCTAGCAAAGATAAAAAGGCGATTTTAGGCTTAAATTAAAGCTAGAAGTCTCGACTACTACCCTGAAAATACAATCCCTGCACCTTGACTTGATGGTCACTTATAGCTACGGTGACCACCCGTCCTGTATTATACGTGACAGTCCTCTATTTTCGTCAATTGTCCTGGTGATTTATTTATTTAATACGGGACGCCAAATGTTCTGTATTTCTTTTAATGTTCCGTTTGGCCGAGCTTTTCCTCCAATTTGTGGTGTGCGCCTTGATGTTGTCACACAAAGCGGAGGGACCTACAGTTTTACGCAGACTCCGAACGGCGATTGTATTTTTATGAGAAGCTGTTTTTCATGGCAGAAATACACTCGGAGGTGTGCCATTGCCTGCCGAGGGACGACCGCTGTTAAGAAAAAACCTTTTTTCTATATTGCTTTGCTTTGACCAGGGCTTGAACCCAGGCGTTGCGGAGTGAAAGCGCGCACTGCTTACCACTACACCACAACGGCCGACAGATCATAAAAATGACGTGCCTATGAACCAGTTTTTTTTTTTTAATCTGGCCGTTTATGATTCGAATCGAGGAGCACATATGTAGATGGTTTCTAAAGTTGTAATTTTGCGTAAAAAAACTGGGTATTTGTGGGTATAAATAGAAATTAGACGTTAATGACTGTTGTTGAAATTTCTAAAAGAAATTTGACTAGTATTTAGCTTTTCAAAGGTTTTTTTCAACGCATTTCACGTTGAATATATTGAAAAGGTAGCAGCAATAGGGCAGCTGCCAGTTTCGAATGCCGTCAGGAGCAGAAATTAAAGTTATACATATAAAAGTATTTATTAAAATTGAAAAAATTGCTGAATCTTAAAATTGCTTTTTGTTTGGTTTCATGTAACTAGTTATTATCTTGTTTATACCTACGCAAGAACCGCATTAACAAAAGGCTGATTTGACTCAACACATATTTCTTTTAAGCATTTACACCCGTTTCGTTATAGCGCACTCGCTGAAACTGTATTTAAAAGTAAACAAAAGTTGTTATTTTTATTCGATATTTCTTAAATAATTAATTTTCGCGGTGGACCAAATTGGAAGCGAGCAAGAATTCAAATTTGTTATAGTAATAATTCAAAATTTAAAACGGGCTGTATAAGGAAACGAGCCTTTTTTTACTTCGCATCAAATGAGTGATGTGTTTATACCTGTTTTCTAACCAATGTGAGAAATAAAAAAGCGATTTGAAAACAAATTCGAGTCAATACACTTTTGAATTTCTGAGCGTATTGAAAGTTGGTTTATGCTTCCGTTTTGAATCACAGCGAACTGGGTCAAAGCGCTTTATGTGTCGGTATAAACAAGGTATAAGAGAAAGTTTCTGTGAAGCTCATTATGAAATTGGTTTCAAAGAAAAATTTAATCAAACAAATTTCAGGAAAACCGCCGAAAGCGCATCCGTTTCACAACCATTCTCGATAGTTTTCTGTACATATGGTTCGGACATACGCTTTAGTGGGAGAATGGGTCTGAAAAACGACCGAAAACGGAATCATCGGATGAAACATCAAGTTTTTATACGAAATAGTTTCCATTTTCGGATACGTTTCCGGATATTTTGATGGCTGGGTAAATGATAGAATCAAATGTCTTAATAAACAAAATTTATAATTTTCACCTAAAGTTTCAATTTGTAAACGCTTGTCAATAGCATTTCGTCACCTGAGTGGAAGATCGACCAATCTCGTCAGCCAGTTCGAAAACGCTCTATCTCAGAAAACTTTTCGAGAACGCCCTACTTCAGAATTTGAATGAAGAAAGCCCTATTTCAAAATTTTACTGAAAAACACCCTATATCCGAATTTGGTTGAATAACGTCCTATCTCAGCTGCCGATTCAAAAACGCCCTATCTCAGCACATTTTCAATGTATTTTCAACTGATAGGGCGTTTTTGAACCGAATTCTGAGATAGTATGTTTTTCTGCTGGCTGGGTAAATACTGAATGTGCCGGCATTTAAACCTGCGACACTCGGAATTATAGTCGACATCTCTACCTACTCGACTACGGCAGTCCAAAGATTTTTTGCTTTTAAATTCATATTTTTCATACTCATCTGGAAATCAGTTCCCCTCATGTGGAGGTCGTAGAGCTTTTTATTTTATAAATATTGACACAGAACGCGATGGAAGCTTATTCTTGATAAAAATCTTGATAAAATTTCTTTATAAATAACTAGCAGACCCGGTCAACTTCGTCCCACCCAAAATTAATTTATTTTACTGAAATATTTTGGTCAAACATTTGCAAGAACAATTCGCGTTCACGATTTCCAGTGATACATTTATCTGCTAGTATTACGATTTGGTGGTTGTCAGAAGGCATATTTCCATTGTCGTCTTTAATAACCTAACGAAAGTGTATGTTCGTGAAGAAGTTCTTGAAATTCTCTAATGATCTGGCGTTTCAAAACACGGTTAATCGCAAAACGAAATAAATTTGAAGAGCTTTTTCCCATTCCCTGGCAGCAACAATGATCCGGTTCGATGGTGAATCTTTCCTTGAAACTGTATGGTATAGTTGGTTGCAATTTAAAAATTGGTGAGTATCGTTGTTCTACAGAAATCCAATATACACAATCTTATTTCAGTCTTATCAAGGAGCGCAATGGTTCTGATGGTAGATTTAATTCTGGTCATTTGAGACAACTAAATCCGGGTGTATCCAAAAGAAGCTCTCAAATCACGTTCGTTGGGCCAATCGCAACACACGGGATCTCGGCATACTCGGTGGTAGAGCACGTCGATGTAATCGGACATTCTCGTCACTTTTTCTCACTTGAGGATTTTTAGAAACAACTCGACCCCAGTGTCACCCGGCGGCTGTTTTTTGCAATAGTCTTGCCCTTACCGTTACCAATACATAAGTATCTCGAATATATGTTAGCAAGTCGTTGTTGCGAGTGGACGTGTTTTACTAAGCTCTGAGTCGGTGAATTTTTTCTCCGTCAAATTGACAACTTTATTAAAATAACTAGCAAATGCCCGCTTGCTTCGCGGCGCCTAATAAGATCTTTTGCGTTGGCCAATTCAATAATAGCGTTTAAAAGCTAACGCAGTCTGCAAAGTAAACATTTTTAGTTTAAATTGAAAGGACTAAAAAACGAAATCCTCCTCACACATATGCCAAGAATAGTAGCGCTGTGATGCCATATGGAATACCAATCCCTTTCGACGTAATGCGTTTTACGCGTCTTATTTTCACCTGTGAAATCTCTGCCAAGCATGCCTATTCCCCTTGATCTTGCAACTTCAACATTGGTCCGATGCGGAAGCCAATAAAAGCCCTTCAAGTAAGCCTAAGAGAACAGATGAGCGTTTTCTGTTATAAGAGGGCCATGAATCCTCGCTGCCCCACCGGATGAAAAGTTTTCCCGCACATTGGCTAAATGAGTCGTGTGATCTCTTGAATATCGGCCAAATGAAGCCATTGATATACCTATCGTGTTCCTTCTTGGACAGATGTGGTCGAATCTTTCCTTGTCAATTCGCCACTTTTACAATTCGTCTTAATATTTATGAATTGGTTTCTTTGACTCTTACTGCTGTAATAACGGCCGCCTTGTGCAACTTCGTCAATCGGAGGTAGATGCAAGATCACGCTTACACAGTGTTACGGTATTTATATGCATACTTAAACGTATCCTTGATTTAGCCATCTGAAAAGTAAATTCGTCTAAGATAAACATAGGGCCAAAGCAGAACAAACCCCGCGGGGGTTTCTATATATTTCCGGCGCAGCGTCATCCATTGGGTCACTTTTATGCAAAACCTTTGCTTGCCATGAAATGAATACGAATTAAGAATTCCAATCAGATTTTATGAAAATACGGATTTTCTAAATACCTGAACTCCAGCGGTCCATTTTTAGCAAAGGAATTTTTCATCATACAGGTAGCTCACTTTGCGAATTTGATCGAAATCTGTTAACAAATACGACTTTTATAAGTAATTCTACTCCAGCGCCATCAGCGTGTTTTTAGTAGCCTGTAGTAGGACCATATATGCAAGGTATATCCTCCGACAATTCGATTGGGCTCTATTGAGTGGTTATTGAGTTTAGTCCGAAAAACCAAAAGATGGTACAGATGCGCTGTATTTAGGTGTTAATCAAAGTTCTTAAACATTGTGAGTTTTTTGTCCTCAAATTGTTGTTTATAATTTTTAATTCCATATATGTATATGTATGTTTGTATGCTATATTCATTAATTTTTAATTACAATGTGCCTTTGTATTTTTGGTTTGTGGCAGATTTAATAAAGCTGGATTGCCCCTGAAGATGCTAAAAATGTTTTAGCGAAACGTTGGGCCAGAAAGTGGAATAATGTAGTTTTATTCGCACTAAAAACATAGATCAGACTAGCCTGGTAACATAATATTTAGGAAATGGCTATCATTTTATGTATGTAATCTTCCTTATCCTGAGTTTCCCCGAAAAAAAATTCACGCGAAAATTTTGATTCCCCCCATAGTAGGTACATGGAAACCAAAAGCGAAAAGTGAACCGATTCAGGGCAGATGAAACTCATGATACGGCTGAATATGTTTCGAATGAAAAACAAAAATCAGCATGAAAGTAATAAACGTTGCGAATGTGTATTAACAAAATAGGTTCATAAATACTTTCACATACTTAGTCTGTTCCTTTGAACTTCGCACTAAAACCTGTGGAACTGTCAAACTACAATTTTACTCTCTCAAGTGAGACTAAAAGGAGAACAGACGCAGAAGTGCACGGGAACGCAAAAAGCACTATTTCATTTGTACAACACTGATTTGGCTGAAATATCACTAACTAATTATTAAAATCTATAAATATTCAAATATTTCGTTGTTTACTTCCATATTTTTACAAATATAAGGTTCTTTGCTTACACCGCTTTCTGTTTTTGTTTGCACATCCAAATCAGCTGATCGTTTGATACTTTTCATGAACTTACAGGAAAAAGAACTCCGGACTAAATCCTGTAACTTCTGACTAGGAACAGTTGCTCAGTTACTCTCTCAAAAGTGTTCCCACTTACAGGTTTTATGTCAATAGGAACGACTTCCTGTAAGTTTTGACTAAATCCTGTAAACCGGACTGCTATTGGAACAGACTAATTGCTTTTATAAATATCTCGACCCCAGCACCACCTAGCGGGTCCATTTTTCGCAAGTGCTTTTTTCATCATGCTTACGAAATCGATTCATAAATACAACTTTTATAAAAACTCGCCTCCAGCGCCACCTAGTGGCTCAGTTTTTGGTAAACGTATTTTCGATTATGCGGAAACTATACCTTTTGAATTTGAAATAAATCGGTTCATAAATACGGCTTTTATAAACAACTCGACTTCCGCGCCACCTAGCGGGTCTATTTTTGGTAAACGTGTTTGCCATCATGCTGGTAGCTCACATTTTGAATTTGAACGAAATCGGTTCATAAATACGACTTTTATAAATAACTCGACCCCAGCGCCATCTAGCGAGTTTTCTGGTAGCCTATAATAGGACCATATATGCAAGGTATAACCTCTGAAAGTTTGATTGAAATCTATGCAGTAGTTTTTGAGTTAACTCCGAACAACGAAAACGGCCATTGTTTTATATACATATATAGATAACATAGTGCCTGAGGCACTGACTCTTATGTGTTTAGAACTAATAAGTTTGGAATTATTAGTTATCCAATGTGCCGTGTATTTGTGGTCAAAAAGTTAAAACAAAAATTCAATGTGAAAATTGCAACGAGTTTTTTCATATGAAATGTGTTGGTGTTTTGCCCGCTGACTTGGATTTCTTAGAGAGCTCTGGAAATAAATATTTTTGCAACGAGTGTGCCGCTGCTCGCAAAAGATCCATCGCACCTCTCCCCCTAACGTTAGTTGGGAAGATTCAGCCGCAGCTAAGAGTACATCGTCATCTAATTCGCCTAGCCTCTCACAACTATCTCTTAATCCTAAGAATGTGTCTAATAATCAATTTAATCAAAGTTCTTCACCAATGATATGCAGTGACATTGATGAAGAGAATAAGCAACTAACGTTATCCAACATACTACGTGAAATTGCGGCTCTAAACTCCGAACAAGTGCGCTCCACTGAACTGATCAATGCCCTACATACCAACAAGCAGCTCTTAGGGCCAGTTTTTCAGTGGCAGTTTAAACTTAGATTAAGTAAACTGAGTTTAAATTGAACAACTGGCTGATATTTGATTGGCTGATCTTAGTTTAAACCAGCCAGATCGGGCGTTTAAACTGAGTTTAAACTATGCCCGTGCACTGAAAAACTGACCCTTAATAGCAAAAAGTGAATTTCTCCATGCAGAGATGGTAGCTTTGCATAAACAGCAAGCGGACGAGTTTGTTAACACTCTCTCTTCACTCACTGCTGAAATCAAAGAACTTCGTCGTACTGCGCGTTTCTGTAGTTGTGTGAACACCAACGATAAAGCTAATAAGCTAACCATTTCATCTAACGTTATAAATGCTGATATAATTAGTGCCTCTACGGCTGATGCTGCTTATCGTCCTCTTTTATTTCCATCTTCTTCGCCTCTGGGCGTTCGTTCATTTCCCACTGATGCTAGTGTTACAGCGTCGGCGTCGGCGTCGACGCCAACTAACGCCACTGCTACGGGTGAAATGTGTATATCATACGCATCTGTTGCCGCGCAGATTGGTGGAAATCAGCAAACAATAAACAAAACAAATAAAGTGCTACAGCGTGGTGAAGTTTTCGATGCATCGAGGTATGGTGAGATTAGAACATCTACATTAGGGAGTGGCGAAATTTCTTCGCTTGCTAATCCTTCTACCCCCATATCTAATGCAACTGATTCGATACAACCAATGTCTCTCGCTCGTAACAGTGAAAGGCGTAAAACTACTGCCAAGGCCGGTAATAAGAGTGGTGAATTGCGTGTCGTTGGATCTAGTTCTAATGCTGAGCTTAATGTGGCCGTGCCATTAAAGTGGCTTAATGTATCATCTTTTAAGCCATCTGTCAGCTCTGTTGATATTATTGAATATGTTCCAAAACACTCCGGAATCGGAAAGAATCTTTTATCATGTTTTAAACTTATTAAAAAGGATGCGCCAACTGACTCTTTAAAACGTGTCAACTTTAAGCTTGGGGTACCGGAAAACTCGTTTGATAAGTTGCTATTGCCGGAAGTTTGGCCCGCTAACGTCACCGTGCGTCCTTTTCTCTTTTTTCAAAGGAAAGTAAGTCCGCCAACTCAAACATAGCGGCTGAAAAATCTTCGCATAAATTAAAAAATTATTTTCACAATGTATCTGGTATGAGGATCAAAGCAGAGATAGTTCGTCTATTAAGCTCTCACCTAGATTATGACGTCTTTGTAATTATCGAAAGTTGGTTAAATAACAACTTCTTCGATTCCGAGTTCTTCGATGCAAATAATCGTGTTTTCCGGAAAGATAGAGACGAAATCAAAACAGGGTGTTCCAGAGGCGTCGGCGTGTTAATTGCTGTACAGCGGAAATTCAACTCGTCTTTAGTTCAGCTACTTAATTCTGATTCCCTCCTCGATCAACTTTGCGTTACTTTGCGGGGCTCTTTCGGCCAACTGTTCGTGTGTGCGTCGTATATCCCTTCCAACAGTAATGACGAGATTTATAAATGTCACATTGATAAATTAGTTTATCTAAGTTCTGAAGTTAAGAATCACCATATGTGTGTCCTTGGCTATTTTAATCTTAACAATATTTCTTGGAGTAACTTAAGTAGTTCATCAGTGTTAACGCCAGTTAATGTGTGCAATGTCAATGATACTTATGTTATTGATTGTCTCTTAATATTAGCCTTTCCCAAATTAATCATTATTTTAACGATTTTAATCGACTTTTAGACCTAATTTATTTAAGTGCCAACTTAAATCAGCAGTNCCACTGATGCTAGTGTTACAGCGTCGGCGTCGGCGTCGACGCCAACTAACGCCACTGCTACGGGTGAAATGTGTATATCATACGCATCTGTTGCCGCGCAGATTGGTGGAAATCAGCAAACAATAAACAAAACAAATAAAGTGCTACAGCGTGGTGAAGTTTTCGATGCATCGAGGTATGGTGAGATTAGAACATCTACATTAGGGAGTGGCGAAATTTCTTCGCTTGCTAATCCTTCTACCCCCATATCTAATGCAACTGATTCGATACAACCAATGTCTCTCGCTCGTAACAGTGAAAGGCGTAAAACTACTGCCAAGGCCGGTAATAAGAGTGGTGAATTGCGTGTCGTTGGATCTAGTTCTAATGCTGAGCTTAATGTGGCCGTGCCATTAAAGTGGCTTAATGTATCATCTTTTAAGCCATCTGTCAGCTCTGTTGATATTATTGAATATGTTCCAAAACACTCCGGAATCGGAAAGAATCTTTTATCATGTTTTAAACTTATTAAAAAGGATGCGCCAACTGACTCTTTAAAACGTGTCAACTTTAAGCTTGGGGTACCGGAAAACTCGTTTGATAAGTTGCTATTGCCGGAAGTTTGGCCCGCTAACGTCACCGTGCGTCCTTTTCTCTTTTTTCAAAGGAAAGTAAGTCCGCCAACTCAAACATAGCGGCTGAAAAATCTTCGCATAAATTAAAAAATTATTTTCACAATGTATCTGGTATGAGGATCAAAGCAGAGATAGTTCGTCTATTAAGCTCTCACCTAGATTATGACGTCTTTGTAATTATCGAAAGTTGGTTAAATAACAACTTCTTCGATTCCGAGTTCTTCGATGCAAATAATCGTGTTTTCCGGAAAGATAGAGACGAAATCAAAACAGGGTGTTCCAGAGGCGTCGGCGTGTTAATTGCTGTACAGCGGAAATTCAACTCGTCTTTAGTTCAGCTACTTAATTCTGATTCCCTCCTCGATCAACTTTGCGTTACTTTGCGGGGCTCTTTCGGCCAACTGTTCGTGTGTGCGTCGTATATCCCTTCCAACAGTAATGACGAGATTTATAAATGTCACATTGATAAATTAGTTTATCTAAGTTCTGAAGTTAAGAATCACCATATGTGTGTCCTTGGCTATTTTAATCTTAACNGCGTGTTAATTGCTGTACAGCGGAAATTCAACTCGTCTTTAGTTCAGCTACTTAATTCTGATTCCCTCCTCGATCAACTTTGCGTTACTTTGCGGGGCTCTTTCGGCCAACTGTTCGTGTGTGCGTCGTATATCCCTTCCAACAGTAATGACGAGATTTATAAATGTCACATTGATAAATTAGTTTATCTAAGTTCTGAAGTTAAGAATCACCATATGTGTGTCCTTGGCTATTTTAATCTTAACAATATTTCTTGGAGTAACTTAAGTAGTTCATC